AAATTGTGAACAATGTTGATCTGGATATTTGTTATACTACACTTCTTAGTTCCATGTGTATTTGACAATTGTGATAAATATGGGAAAAAGTCCAGATTTACCTGCATGTATACACAGCCCTCACCACTCACATCCACAGTGTAGTTTTTCTGAATTTCTGGTAATGGAATTTGTTGTAGCAGCAATCGGTTCTCTTCATTCACTTGGAAGGCCATATTGAATGCTTTGTCAGAGGAAATTTGCACCAAATTTTGTCTGTTCTTAGAATAAGTAAGCCTTTGGAATAGAGTTAGAGCTTGGAGAGCCACAACAGTATCCTAAAATAATAATGACAGGATTGTATTAGAGCATATTCTAGGACTTAGAAATCACAGTCAAATATAGCTGTGATTCATTAAAAATGGTTTTAAAAGCTACTGCAATTTTTGTTAATTTTTCATTGTTTTGTGAACTATATTGTCTTGAATATTGTATAATTTATCAAAAATAAATGCTTTTGTTTTTTGTTTGTTCCAGGTGTAGTAGTGTACATCAGTAATTTTAGTGACTCTGGAGGCTGAGGCAAGAGGACCACAAGTTCCAGGCACAATGTAGGGAGGTCCTCAGCATCTTAATGACACCTTAATAATAAACAATGAAAAGAACTGGAGATTGTTGTGGTTTGGATGTGAAGTGTCCCCCAAAACTCATGTGTGAGACAATGCAAGAAAGTTTAGAGGAGAAATGATTGGGTTATGAGAGCTGTAACCCAATCAGTGAATTAATCACATGATGGGATTAATTGAGTGGTAATTGAAGGCAGGTGAAGTATGGCTGGAGGAGGTGGGGCCCTGGGGACATGAGGTATATATTTGTATTTGGCAAGTGGAGAGTTACCTCTCTGCTCTCTGATCATTATGTGAGCTGCTTCTTTCTGTCACTCTTCAGCCATGATGTTCTGCCCCTACTTGAGATCCAAGGAATAGAGTGGACTGTCTATGGACAGTCTCTGAAACCATGAGCCCCCAAATAAACTTTTATTCCTCTAACATTTTTCTGGTTGTGTCTTTTAGTCACAGCAGCATAAAAGCTGACTAAAACAGGGATGTAGCTCAGTAGTAATGCATCCCTGTGTTCAATTCCCAGTACCTAACTAATAAATGAGATTTATGGCAACATTTCCATCCTACTCTTTCATGAAGACAAAACTGTCATCTAATATAAAACACATGTGAGAAGAAATAAGGAAATTTTTAAA